ACGCATTCCATCCCCCTTCTGGATGAAATCTTCTCTGTGTGTAATAATGAATCAAAAGATCAATGTTCATCTACACCTGTCCTTTCAACTCTTCTTTTGAAATGGTAGGCCTAGGTTTGGTCCATCAAGAAAAGTTGGCAACACGATGGACTCTATCGGAAACGACTCCTTTTTGTCGTGCTCCATTACAAAAAGTTGTAAAATGATAGTTTGCCGCGAAAAGAAAAATCATGACGCGATGATATTTTATGTTTGATTATGATGAAATGAACAAAGGTAAGATAAAATGAATCCTAAATAATATAGTGTTTGCAATTTTAAACACTATGTACTACATTGCAAAGGAAATGAGCTTAGCATTATAATTTTATTAAAAAATCGTAAGAAACAAATTCTGTTAAATTGAGTTAAATATGTAAGTGTTTTAACAGAACGGATAGGTTTGAGTATGGGTCGAGAAACTTATGTTGTGTATAAATTGATCAACTCAATTTAGATCATACCATTTATGACCCAACCCAAATTCGACCAAATCCATCCGTTCGACAGGTCTAGTCTCAGTGGCATAGTTTGAGGTTTCTAACGTCACAAAAAGTTCGGGATAAATGTGTCGGGCAATTAGGCATAGTTTGATGTTTTTGTTGGTTTTTTTTTCCCGAAAATATATGGTCACGCAAAAAAAAAAAGAAAATCGGTGCATTTCGCGTGCGCTTCTAGAAGACCATGCACAAAAGTTGTAACTCGCATTTCTCTTTTTTCTATTTATTTTCCTAATTCTTTCCAAAATCTCGTATTTTTTTTTTTGAAGTTTCGCCCGCAGTCTTCCCTTCTTCCCTTTCAATATTATTCTTCTTTTCAACACCTCCCTCATCTAGAAGGCCATCATCACTAAGATCAGAAGCTATCAACTCCCACCACCATCGTTCTCAGCAGAAGCTTCCCCCCTCTCTCTCTCTCTTCTTTCTCTCTCTCTTCTTTCTCTCTCTAGCTTTGCTTATATATATAGAGATGCAGCCCCCGAGCTGGTCTTCTCCAACAGAGCGGACTCCCACCCAGAAAACCATCCATCCACTCCTCTTGCTTGTTGCTTCCTCTCTCTGAAGATCCACCATGATCGCCGCCGACTTCGTCCGTGCACCGCCGTGGAAGGAAGAGCCCGTCGACGCCGATCCGGCGCAGGCTCCCTGTGACGATGATGGCGACGACGGCGGCGATGGCGACGACGCGCTCTCGCTCTGCAACCTCTCCTTGTACTGCGACGCCGCCGATCGCTCCTTCGCCGACGATGACGCCTCCACGTCGTCGTGCTCCTCCTCCTCCTCCGATCACGACGACTTCTTCGAGTTCTCATCGATCGGGGACTCCGATTACTCCTCCGACCTCCTCCGCTCCGACGATCGGAGCATCGTCTTCTGCGGGAAGCTCATCGCTCACCGAGAATCGCCTTCGCCTCCTCCTCATCCTCCTCCTCCTACTGCTACTCCGGAGAAGAAGGGATCGCCGCTCCAAACCGGCAGCGGGAGCCAAAAGAGCAAGAGCAGGAGGACCCGGTCGCCGACGGTCCGGCGGAGGAAGTGCCGGTGGTACCTGATGGCGTTCGGACTGGCGAGGTTCCCGACGGAGATGGCGCTGAGCGAGATGAGGACGAGGCAGAGCCGCAACGTCGAGAAGACCGGGTCGTGCGGCGGCGGCGAGATCGTGAGTAGCGGCGATTGCGGCGGCAAGAGCAAAGGGAAGGGGTTGTTCGGACTGTTGAAGGCTCTGGGATTGGGCCACCGTCGCCGCGCCGATGCTTTGGTGAAGGCCTCGTTGGGCTGCGTCGCGCGCGTGTGACACGGTTGGCCAGGATTGACTCTACATTTGGCACACGTGTCAGAGATAGAGAGAGAGAGTAGATTAGCAAAGGCTTTGTTCTTAAGAAGAGTACATTTGGCCAGGATTGACTCTACATTTGGCACACGTGTGACACGATCGTTCGGGAACACTTCTTTTAACGCACTCAACACGAGAAAAGTTCCGATTTTTAAAAGTAGCGATTCTACATATTCCATAGAAGAAGTGTGCGCATTTGTTCTTACTACACTCTTTACCGAGTTCGATATGAACGATAATATAGTTAGAGATGATGTATTGAGGACGTTCTTCATTTTTATTTGATACAACTTGTTGCAATATATGCAATCTTCATAATTATGATTGATTTCAACCCTCCCTTATCACCAAATAATTTATGTAACCCATTGATAGGTATGTATACATTTTTATGTATGAAATGATGTATTCACTTGGTGATAATGTTAAAGTAATTAACTACTAAATAATGCTTTCATCTAATAGTTTAAATTTTTTTAGAACAGTTGATAGTTATTGTATAATATCTCATATAGTAGTAAAGCAGGAGGTCCCGAGTTAAATCTTTCTGGAGTCTCCTATGTTATTTATTTCCACACGTTAGTTTTAGATCAAAGTCTGGGCTATGCGTAAGAAGAAGTAGTAAAGTATTCTATCGACTTAAATTTTCATGAACAGTTGATAGTGATCTTATAAAATCTTATAGATAGAGGATTAGCCTACATGGTACATTTGACTTTGGATCTCGGACATGGTTTTGGCCTACTTAGGGACTCGGTTATTGGGATATCTCTGAAAAACTTTGCAAGTATCATAAATCAATTAAGTTCATGCCTTTGGCCTATGTAGATGGTCATAATCCAGAGCAACTCGCACCCAGTTGATAAAATTGACCAATTGACATTTGGTTGTCGACTAAAAATCCCTTATTGCTCCAACCAACCATGCCGGTCTAGGGATTGCCCTCAATATCAGGCTTCACAAAAAAAGTTGTATTCAATTACACACTTCATTACAAATTTAGCTGTATATTGTAGATAATGTACATAGTAAACATTAAGGGGAAGCCAGGGGAGTTTCTAATTGCATAATCAAGATTAAATAAAGAGAAAGTACCAAAAATCATACCTCGCTTTTTACCCAAGTGTCACTTACATATCTCTATTTTTCAAAATACTTAATAGCAACCCGAGTTTTACCCTTTAGATATTGTAGATAATGATCACATCTATTCTCTCTGTGTCCCTGTGTTGGAAAGTGCCATTTATGCCCATCCCAAACTCTAAAGTCTCAAACTCATCCAAAACAATCAAAATCAACTAAAAAACCAATCTACCCAAAACCCAAGGCAAGATGCTAATAAAATGATTTGCAAAGAGAGGCAATTTGATCTTTTTAACATGGAGTTTTGCTTAGAGGTACGCATGGTATTTGCAAAATAGAGGTATCTAAATGTTGATTAGATCAAAGGTACTTAGATCAAAAGTGAGATATGTTTTTGGTGTTTTCCCTTAAATAACTTATATAACATGTTTGTTGTCAATGGCAGATCAAGCAGAATAGTTGGAACCACCACATACTTGCATGGTTCAGTTGGGATGTGGGTTTTTTCTTTTTCTTCTTAGCAAACTAAAGGGAGCACTGCACGGAGCAAAGAATCCACACCCTTTAAAGATGAGGATCATCTATCCATAATTTACTTTCTTCAGTGTGTCGATAAAAAACTCATTTAATAAATCAATACTTGAGATTTATTGAGGTATCAAGAAAGTGTTGTGGAAGCAGAAAATCCACGTTTATACCTTCGTAATCAAGGAAGGAGGGCATCTTTTCTTTCTTTCTTTTTTCCTCTTATTGTTGCAATTCTCTGTGGACAAACATTTCATGGATAATAGTCTTATAATAAGACCATAGTAGGCTCCATAATAATACACCAAGGTCCGAAATTGATCTGCTATTCCGGGGGTATTAAGACGCTCTTTCATTTGATTCAACAATTGATAAGTCTTGGTTATCCTATAAGGAACCTGATCAGGACCAACACAGGAAATTCAATTATCATTAGGAAGAAAAAAGGCCAAATAAAACATAAATATGAAAAATGTCAGATATCTTTCACTCTAAAGTAGAAGATACTAAACTTTTAAATTCAAATGTCTGATTATTAAACTATTGAAATATTAAAAAAAGGTGCTATCTACTTCATAAAGATATATATCATGCTCCTGGATACGAGCCTAAACAATCTACTTTATTACGGAATACATCATGCTCCCCCAATATGAGCATGAACTATTTATCTGATGAAAAAAAAAGGCTTATTTAGATGAGTTTAAAATGTCTATATCAAAATTCCTCAACACGAATTTTAAAGTGTTTGAAGTTCAAAATTCATTGACACGAGTATAAACTGTCTATGACAGGATTTCTCTGCACGAATTTAAAAGACCTAAAGATCAAATCGAACTTCAATACTCCTCGTTAAGAATTTAAGAATCCCCTCTAGGGTTTGGCCCGCCGGGTCGTTTGCACCCCTAGCTTGCACTTTAGGAGACAAATACGAATCATACGCTCCACAAAGTGTTCCTCTTAGTGTCCCAATAAATCTCAACCTTTGATTTGTGAGACTTTTATCCACGACCTAGATCCAGCGAGTTAAATTTCATTTTGTTAATTAGTATCGTCCCACTGCCGATCGATTGACACCATACAAAGCAATGTTGTGCTATTCGAAACCCGCGAAAATGGGAAATATAAACATCTTTCGAGAAGGGACGGCAAAAATGAGTAATAACTTTTATAATTCTTCCTAAGCATGCGAAACGTAAACAGATTAAAAAAAAAAAAGGGAGAAAAATGTACCTGCTCCCTTGCTCTTCTAGAAGACCAAGCAAACGGAATAATTTTCTTCTCTTTTCATTTTTCTAATGTGTTTTTTTTTTCAACATCTCGTTTTTTAACTTTCTTTCTTTCATTTTTTTTTTCTAATTTTCTTGTCAATACTTCTTCATCTAGAAGGCCCCTACCCTAGCAAAGCTAACAACGAACCATCTCGGCAGGGGCCACCTCCGTCTCTCTCTCGCTTCGTTTATATAAATCCATTCGTCCCCGTCCTCGTCTTCTCCAACACGGCGGACTCCCTCACCGGAAAACATTCGCTCCTCTCCCGCCGTCGCCGCCCCCCCAGTTCCTCTGAAGATCCGCCATGACTACCTCCGATTTCGTTCAAGCACCGTCGTCGAAGGAAGAGCTCGTCCACACCGATTCGGCCCAAGTTCGCACTAACTACTACGGCGACGACGGCGGCGATGGCGATGACGCGCTCTCGCTCTGCGACCTCCCCTTGTACTGCGACGCCGCCGATCACTCCTTCGCCGACGACGATGACGCCTCCACATCGTCGTCCTCGTCGTCCTGCTCGCCCTCCTCCTCCGATCACGACGACTTCTTCGAGTTCTCATCGATCGGGGGCTCCGAATCCTCCTCCGACCTCCGCTCCGACGATCGGAGCATCGTCTTCTGCGGGAAGCTCATCTCTCGCCGAGAGTCGCCTCCTCCTCCTCCTACTACAACTCCGGAGAAGAAGAGATCGCCGCTCCCGGCCGGCCGCGGGAGCCAGAAGAGCACGAGCAGGAGGACCCGGTCGCCGGCGGTCCGGCGGAGGAAGTGCCGGTGGTACCTGATGGCGTTCGGACTGGCGAGGTTCCCGACGGAGATGGCGATGAGCGAGATGAGGACGAGGCAGAGCCGCAATGTCGAGAAGACGGGGTCGTGCGACGGCGGCGGCGAGATGGTGAAGAGCGGCGGCAAGAGCAAAGGGAAGGGGTTGTTCGGAATGTTGAAGGCTCTGGGGTTGGGCCACCGTCGTCGCGCCGACGCTTTGGTGAAGGCCTCGTTGGGCTGCGTCCCGCGCGTGTGATAATGTTTGGCCAGGATTGACTCTGCATTTGGCACACGTGCGTTAGATAGAAAGAGAGAGAGAGGGAGAGGGAGAGTAGATTAGCAAAGGCTTAGTATGTAATTGATGGATTTTTGCAGAAATAGTTGAGTTCATTTTAACCCAAAGCAACTGCATAACATCGCATGCCCAATTGACAAAAAATGCTATTAAGCGAGTTAATCGAAGCACGGATCCAATGACTATATATGTAGCACGATTGTTCAGGAACACTTCTTTTAACGCACTCAACACGAGAAAAGTTCAAGTAGCGATTCTACATATTCCATAAAAGGAGTGTGTGCAGTGATTTTGATTACGTTATTTATCGAGTTCGTTATCATTTTAATCAAGATCTTGATTGATTTTAACCCTCCCCTGCTACCAAATAATTATATCAGCCGTTGCTAGGGTATGTATATATTTTTAAAGATTAAATAACATTTTCATTTAACAACTTAAACTTTTTTAGAATAGTTGACAGTGTCATCACAAAATCTTATACGGCATCAGAGCAGAAGGTCCTGAGTTAAATTTTTATAAGTCCTATTTGTCTCCCTTATTGTATATTTCTACATGTTAAATTTAGATCAAAGTCTAGCCTATGTGTGAGAAAACATGTTAAAAGTACTTAAATAATAAGATACACCTTCATCTATTAATTTAAATTTTTGGAATAATTGACAGAAGTTCCACAAAATCTTATAGATAAAGGATTAACCTACATGGTGCATTTGACTTTTGGGGACATGACATGGTTTTGGCCTACATGGAGACTCAACTATTTGGAGATCTATGAAGAACTCTACATGTATCATAAATCAGTTAAATTCATGCCTTTACCTGTGTAGATAGTCAAATTTTGCATGCAATTGATGAAATTTGATCAGCTGACATTCGGTTTTTGAATTGGAATCCCTTGTCGCTCTAGCCTACAATGCCAATCTAGGGATTGCCCTCAATATCGGGCTTTACAAGAATTTTGTATTCAATCATACACTTTAGTACAGATTTAGTCCTATATTGCAGATAATGTACATAGAGAACATTAAAAGGAAGCAAGGGGAGTTTCTAATTGCATAATCAAAATTAATTAAAAAGGAAGCACCAAAAAACATATCTCACCTTTCACCCAAAGGCCTCTTACATATCTCTATTTTTAAAAGGTCGTCTGAAGTCGCACAGCCCAGGTGAATAAATATCGGAGTTTTACCTTTAGAGAGCAAATTTGCACCTTCACATATGTTCTCTTTGTGTCCCTACGTTGGAAAATACCATTTATGCTCATTCCAAATACTAAAATCTCAAACTCACTAAATACCGGAGTTTTACCCTTAGAGAGCAAATTTGCACCTTCACACATACGTTCTCCTTGTGTCCTTATGTTGGAAAATGCCATTTATGCTCATTCCAAATACTAAAATCTCAAACGCACTAAAAACACTAAAAATCAACTAAAAACCAATTCACCCGAACCCTAAACAAGATGCTAATAAAATGAGTTTGTAAAGAGGGGCAATTTGGTCTTTTCAATGTGAAGTTTTGCTTATAGGTGTACTAATGATATTTGTGAAAATAGAGGTATGTAAGTGGTCATCGGGTCAAAAATGAGATTTGATATTTTCCCTTAAATAAATGATATAGAAAGTTTATTATTGATGGCTGATTAAGGAAAATAGTTGAAGCCATCACATTATACTTTAGTTGGTGTAAGACATATTGGGTGGACCGCCCAAGATGGGCCAAACCCGGCCCGTGAGCCACAAGGACCCACGAGGTAGTTATTTGCCTATCTATAATAGAAGGCACCCCTTGAAAAACAGAAGTGATTTTTCATATGTGCAAACACACTCCTTCGACACAACGTATTCTCTGTTTTTGCTTCGGAACGCACGTGAGTACGAAAGACATTCGAAGAACTCTCAAGCGCAAAGTGGCACTTAATCTGTGACAATACCGGGTATGTTCGTTGTGTGATATACCTGTACGATCGGTGATACAAGTTGACGATCCTTGGGCACGTTTTCCGCATTGATCGAATTCGTTCCGAATATGTTTCGAACATGACGATCGGGAATTGAGTTTTCCCAACATTGGTATCAGAGCCCGTTTACTTGTTTCCCGATCATGCATGTGTACCGTCTCTTCCATTGAAGTGTATACTGCTTGTTTTTTCGTTTCGGCCTTGTTTTTGGTTCGTTTTCGTCGCGTCGCCGAACTGTTCATACATGTTTCGATTTTTTTTTTTTCGTCAAAACTTAAATTTTATTGTATAAACAGAAAGCACTCGTCGAGACGAGCAAAATGATGGGCGGCACGTCGCCGGAGGACGCCGCACGCGCCTCACGCGCGCCGCAAGGCCCGTGCGCGCGACCGCGTGCGTACCACGCGCGGCCGTGCGAAAGGGCGCGTCGGTCGCCGCTAACCGCCGATGATGACGTCATCGTGGCGTCATCGGCGGACCATTGACCCGACCCGAGACCCCGACCCGGTTGACGGGTGACCCGACCCGGTTGACCGGTGACCCGACCCTGTTGACCTGGTTGACCCGACCCGTTGATCGTTGACCCGACCCGGTGACCCGGCCCGTTGACTGTTGACCTGACCCGGTTGACCGTTGACCGACCCGGTTGACCGTTGACCGGTCAACGGTCGGAACGGTCAAACCGGTCCAACCGGACCGGTCAAACCGGCAGAATGACCCAGTTTTTTCTTTCGGTCCGTTCAAGCTCATTTGAACTCCGATTTGGGCGTTCTTGGTATCGACGTGCTCGTATCGAAATGATCTACGTTATGGTGTATTCATATCACACTTTTGCTGCACTTATGAATGTGAAAATGCACGATAAACCCTATGTACACGTACTTAGGGGTATATTCTTTGGCATTTTCTCTAGTATTTCTCTATAGTTTTTTGAAATACAAGTGCTAGATCATATGTATATGAATAAGCATTCCTTATCTTAATGTATCATGGATTATAAGTAATCCTTCGTTCTGCATTCGTTGCAGGAACAATGGTACATTTGAGACGCACTCCGATAATACCCAGAACGGCAGCTCAAAAGAAGAAGCTTGAAAACCTAAGAGTCAAGCTAGCTCTTTATCGATGGGACGCTAAAGATGATATGATGACACACATCATCAAGGTCAACAAAATGATACAGGATATCATTTGGAACGGTTTTGTAATGCCGGAATATGTAATGGTCGGAGCACTAAAATGCACTATGCCTGATGAGTTGGGAAGAATGATTGATAAGGTTAAAGAAACCTTAAATGGTCCAAGCTATAAGATGCTTGTGGAGAATTTTGTGCAAGAATACATAAGGGTTGGGGCAAGAAGAACATCAACCCTTGCATTGAATGGGTCGAGACGCAAATCATGGCCCGGATCTAGGGGTTTTCCGGGAGCCTCTGTTTATGTTCCGAAGAAAATAAAACTTTCTAAAGAATTTTATAAGTCCTTTCCTGTCTATGTGTTAGATTGGTACACTTGATGTTGTTCTTTTGGGATTAGGAATCAATTCTGTATATGTTTCAAGTTGTTATTACATGTTCTTAAAATATTTGTGAATGTGTTATGAAATATATATATATATATATATATATATGGCTATGAATTTTTTTGTGATTTCTCATTTTATATTGCCATATCACATGTTATGTTATATGTGGGAAGTTCTTCAAAGTTTGTATAACTTTTGAAGAACCAATTTCTTTACATAAATGATTATATTAATGGTAATTTCAAATTGGGTTTTTTAGACGATGATTGGGAACATAGTGAACTTTCGACTCTAAGACCTTTTGTGAAACTATTCATTAATATGATTAGTTTATGTAATCATGATGCTGATGAAGCATTTAGATAGGCTTTAATAACTCGTGCGTATGTGTCTGAAATGTTCAGATACGATGGCTTCAGCAACTAAGAACATAGTGGCTGAACTGAATAAGGGAGAAAAATTGAATGGTGACAATTATGAGATTTGGAGTCTCAAGATTCAATATGTGCTGGAAGAGCAAGAGGCACTCGAAGCTCTAAACCAGATTATGGAAGAACCTGAGGATGGGACAACTGCCCAACACAAGAGGGACAAAGATGCCTTTGCTGTTTGGAAAAGAAAGAACTCTCTTGCTCGCATTACGTTGCTAAGCAGCATGGACAATGACATCATGCGAGAGTTCGGACGTTTCCAGAGCGCCAAAGACATGTGGGCTGCACTGGCATCAAGATTTGGTCGAACTTCTGTGACCAAACTAAGACAACTCACTATCCGTTTCGACTCATATAAGATGTCTCATGGAAAGACCATGAAACAACATTTGAGGCAGATGTCGAATATGATTAGTGAGCTAAAGGATGCCGGGCACATACTCACCGATGAACAAAGAAAGTGCGAGCGTAATCCGCTCTTTGCCTCAAAGCTGGGAGCACATGAAGATCCATTTGACCCACAATGAGGGCATCAAGACCTTCGAGGATGCTATGCGGCATCTTGAGCTGGAAGAGGATCGCCTCATGGCGGCTAAGCCAGAAACTGATATTTACTTTGCTGGTTTTAGCTCGCATGGAGTTTCGGGCTCCAAGAGGAAACACCCTGCTGGGTCAAAGAAGTGGAAAGGCAAGGGGCCAAGTCCTTCAGGCAAGAAGCCGAGGCTCAACCAACGGGAGAAAGGAAAGCGTCCTTTCAAGAAGAACATTTCAAGAGTGAAATGTTTCAACTGTGGCAAGAAGGGTCACTTTGCTCGCGACTGTGGCGAACCAAAGAAGGTAGAAACCCTTAGCATTCATGAAAATGCTACTTATGTGTCTAGTTCGGTGTTTCTA